AGTGCCGCATAAACCTGTATGACAGGGTGACATCCTACATGCTCCATCCCTGCTTGTGGAGATGGCTTCCCAGTGTGAGCAGTGGGGGGATGGTGTGGGGAGGATGCTCAGAATCCCAAATCACAGTGTCTCAGTCACAGACAGGAAACTCCTTCCCATTTGTTCCTTCCTCTGTAGCAGAACCTGGACTTTGCCAGCGTCACTTCACATCATCCCCACTGGTCCCAGCCCTGCGCTGGGCTGTCCAGCAGGGAGTCCCTGTGCCAGAGATGCTCCATGAAATGGTGCTTTCTCAGCTGCTCCCTGTTCCTGCAGAGTTGGAAGGGACCCACAAGGGTCATTGAATCCTTGAGGCACCTGGCACTGAACTTCACCCTCGCATTCAGGTCGGCACATGCAGCAAAACTCCCCCGCACACTCACCCTGGCTCCCGTTCCTGGAGGTTCCAGTGGCAGGGGGGTAACGCTTGCCCACGGCTGTGTTCACTCCAAGAAGGTATTTTAAAGAGAAGTGCATCATTAGTGAATTCCCTTGGGTTTCAACCCATCCAAATTTGAGCATATTGGCTGTTGACTATTCCGCTGGTTTCACAGAGATAGTATTCGTTTTTCCAGGAGACATCACCCTTAGGGGATGCTTTCCTTTTTTCCCCTGATTTCATCCAATTACTTAGCTGTATGCTCTTCTGAAGCACCATAAATAATTCTCCTCCCTCTGCTGTGTTTACCAGCATGTCTCATGAAATCCGGTAAGATATGATTGATTGCAATCATTATTTCCTAGTGCTGCTATGAAAACCTCTGTCAGTTCAGTGATTGCCTTGAAAGCGTGGCTGCCACTCAGAAAACTGTCAAAACCCTGTCACACTTTAGCAAACTCCAATTAATCTGTCGATCGGGTTTACTTGTATTTTCTTTCCCATCGCTGCTGATTATCAAGGGAAATTAGAATATTTTTTCCTTAGTAATTAGCAGCTTGGTTGAAGGAAGTGGTTTGCAGGACTATTTTGCTGGGGTTTCATGCTGTTGAGTCAGGTTTGGGTTTATCCTGGCTGCCTGCAGTGCTGTTTGTAACTCTCTTTTGGGCATCTTCATCACTGGCTTCAGGGAGAAGCTGGGGGTCCTGGCTGGGCTTGCTTCCATCCTCTGAATCCCCATCGATGGCTCAGGCAGCTGAGCAGCCCTTTGGCAGATGTCTGGCTCTCTGCTTCAGGTTAACAAATTAATCCTGGCTCTTGCATTTTTAAAAGGGTCGCTTCAGCACTTTTCCTCCTTTCTTTAGCTTTTAATGAGACACACTTTCCAAGAGATGTAATAATCATTGCCAAAAATGTCAGGTCGTTGTTAGCCTCCTTAAGCTGCTGGAACAACAACAACAACAACAAAAGCCAGGAACAGAAAGGGAGAGGTGTTGATGAGGAAAAGGTTCGACTTCATCTCTGAGTGCCGGGGGAGGGCTGGGGGAGCTGTGCCCTGTCACAGCTCTGCTGTTCTGGCAGGGTGCCCTGAAAGATAACGCAGGGAAGGCTGGGAATTTTTTTTTTTTAATTACTATTTTTACTTAGGTTTTTTTTTTTTATTATTTATTGGAGAAGGAATATCTCATCTCAGTGTTGACAGCAAAGCTCAGAGCTTTGCTGTTGAGAAGCATCCTGGAATCGCTCGAAACCAGCTGGGAAACTGGATGGTGGCAGTGACATGAGGGGAAATCTCAGGGAAATCTCAGGGAAGGCAGTGGGAGCGCTGGGGGGGCCAGGCTGGTGGCGGGGGCTCAGCTGTGGGGCTGGAGCTTGCGGCTCCACTTGCTGCTGGCTTCTCTGGGATCCGAGGGGAAATGATTTTCTTCCCCAGTGGGAATATCCTTGTTCCTCATTAGTGATTTGGGAGCAGAACTGTCTTCTTAGCTGTGCTTCTGTGGTGAGGACTCGGAGCAGGCATCCTTGCCTGGACTGCCTGGAGTGTGGCCTGAGCAGAAGGAAATCTCCATCCCCTGGTGATCCCTGGGGAGCTTAGTCTGGGCAGTGGGGACTTGGCACTGAGCACCCTGGGGTGCCTGGCACAAACATCAGTTCACTGCTGCCTGCTAGAAACATGAGCTCTGTGCCTCAGTTTCCCTGTCCCCCTGCCCAGGCCAGCACTGGGCTCCCTTGGTGGGGCTGGAGAGGCTCCTGGGACCCATCCCAAACCCCTCAGGACCCCCCAGGTCTCTTCCTGCAGGGACCAGCTCTGCCCAGGCTTTTAGAGCAGCCATTTAAAATTCAAATGAGCTGCACCACTAAACAAGCCTCTGTAATTCACAAAATGCAACCTGGCTACTGATTGGGGCGACAGCTCAGTGTGAGCTGCAAAAGCAGCTCTTGGTCATCTCCGTTGCCTTCCCAGGTATGATCCTTGTGTCTCCAGCAAACCATCACAGCCTGACCCCCCCCCAAACAAGCTGGGATCCAAATCCTTGTGCCAGGGGTACTGCTCTGTCCATGGAAACCCGATGTTGTGGTTTCAACCCTTCTGGCCAGCTTTAGGGGCTGCGTCAGGTCCCTTTCCTGACCTCCAGCTTCACCCACCGGCACAGGAGAATCCAAGAAGGATGAGCAATCTCCGTCCCACTCAAAAACTGAGTTCAGGGTCTCAGCTCTGGCCTGCTGGCCATGCTGGCATGTCAGAGCAGGAGCAAATTCCGAGTGGAAATCCCCATTTGGGGGGTGGTCAGTCCTGGGGGTGGGCAGAGGATGCTGAACAGAGCCTGGCTGTGGGAGGGATGTCACTGGAGTAGGTTCAGTTTGTGGGCAAATAAGTAATGTGGATTTTCTGACCTGAGCCCATCTTGGAGCTTTTCTGTTTTCCTTGGCTGTGCCTTTGCCTGATTTGCTCAGCTGTGTTTGGGGTGGCTTCTGTCAAAATGGAGCTCCGAGGTCTCCAAGTTTCCACATTTTTCCCCCCATAGCACCTTTTAATTGCAAGTTCATTACTGCTGCTGCTCTTCAGTGGGACAGGCTGTGACTTGTATCTCACCCAGGGGACTGGGAGACCTTCCTGGTGGGATGGACTAAGGTGGCTCCTGTATTCCCAGACCCACTCAGGGAGGTCTGGGCACCCACCAGTTCAAGCAGAAGCCACAGGACTGCAGGGATGTCTGGGGAAGAGCCCAGTTTCGGTCTCCATGAATGGTAGTGGTGTTTTTTTGTTTTGTTTTGTTTGTTTTTTTTTTCTTTTTTGAGGAATTGCTTTTGCTCTCAATGTTTCTTCCATTTTGTTAGATAGCGTCAGGAAAAATAATGTGTTGCTGATAATCTCAGCCAAGCGTGGGAGACAGCCCTTGGCGAGGTCTGGCTGGCCCGGTGGCAGCTTCTTGGAGGGGTTGAGGGTTGGCTCCTAACCCTGTGTTCACGTGCCGTGCTCGGACAGCGGCACAGCCGCGGTGATCCGACGCTTTCCCGGCGCCTGCCGGGGTGAGAGCCGGGCTGTGCGGGTGCTGGAGCCCCCGGTTCAGCTGCAGTGCCAGTGCAGCCTTCTTCCATCAGAGCTGGAAACCAACCCCTGGCTCCAGCACCACAGCATCTGGAGCTGGTGTCAGTGGGTGAATTACGGGGGGAGTGGGGATGGAGCCAGGGCTGTGGCTCTGCAGCAGCTCCATCCCAAAACAGCCATACACTGCTCTTGTCCCAAACCCAAACCATCCAGGCCTTGCATTCAAGCCTTTGTGCTGTTTGACGTGCTCAGCAGCTTGAGTCAGCTCCTGTGGTGAGGAGAAAACCATGCCAGGGCACACAATGCCACTGGGATGCCCATCCCACCACCTGAGCTGGGTGCAGGGGGCTGTGCCAGAGTGGGGGATCCCGGGGATGCGCCAGGCACAGCCCACTCTGGCTTTGCAAGGCTGGTTGTGCCTCTGTTTGGGGATGCAGGAGGTGTTCCCAAGTGCCAGTAGTCACCCGATAGCCACCCAGGGTGTCCGGCAGGCGCTCGCCTTCCCCGCGCCGCCCGCCCGGCTCCTGCTGCTCCCTAAATTAAATATGTGCTGCCTCTTGAAAAGCACATGTGAGTGGCACGGCGGAGATAAGCTAAACGGGAGAGGTTCAGGGGATTATGCACTGATTAAGTTATTACCAACGTGAAATGAGCCGCTCTGAGATGAAACAGGAGCTTTATTTTCTGTTCCCTGGCTCCAGGCTCAGGCTGCCTGTCACTAGATGGCAAAATCAAACTGGGAGCCAGGGGCTCCTGTGTATCCCCAGTGCTTTCAATGCAGCAGCAGGTCAGTGCAGTACAAACCCATAGGACCCAGAGTGTGAAATAGGGCTGGGAATTGGGGGCCTGCCCTGCTGGGGGGGGTTTGCTGAGATGCAGCATTTGAGACAGAGCTATTTCCAGTGCTGGGCCACCCACCCCACAGCAGATTTGGGTAGGAAATAAATTCTTCTCTGTAACAGGAAAATCCGGTGCTGCTGCGAGGATGTGTTGGGGGACGACCACCTATTTGCTCAGTTTCCCATGTTTTTCTTTAAGCATCCCCTGCAGGCTGCTGTCAAAGGCAGGATGCTGGGCTAGGTGGGTCTTGGAGAGTGAAAAATAGAAGTGAAAAATTAAGGGCTGTTTGGTTAGTGCTTGGGAATAAAGTTAGTTTCTCATAACCCCTCGGGACAGGCTGGATAATTCAGGAGTTCATACCTGGAGAGGCAGGTGAGGAGGCTTGATCCAGGGCTGGTATAACTGCTGGCTCTCAGGAGCTGGAGCAGCCCAGCTGGATTTGGGCACAGACAGGGATTCACCCTGCTTGGGCAGGATGATGGACTATGGGTCTGTTGGCAGAGCTGGGGAGGGGATACTGGGGACAGCAGAGCACTGGTGTGGTTCATACACCACCGAGCCCACCTGTGGGGCTGGAGAGCACAAGACCACGGGCAGCTCTGGGGCTGAAGCTGTGGGGAGGGGGATTTTCTGGGTGGGACACAGCAGAGCTCAGTTGTCACCATGTCTCACTTGCTCTTTGTGTGCCTGCAGTGATGGGCACGCTGGAGTCCCGGGGGGTGCTGCGGAGGATGAGCGACATGCTGGAGATGCTGATGAAGAGGATGGACATCCTGGCCAGGCTGGAGAACAGCACTGACTTCCACAAAGGGGATGAAACACGATTCCCTCTGGACAGGTCAGTTGGCTGATGCCCCGTGCAGACCCCGTGGAGCAAAACACCCTGGTGTGCTGAGCTGTTGTGTGGGGAGGGTGGAGCCCGCCAGGACAAGGGGCTTGGACAGATTTTGTGTAGTTTTGTTGTTTGCCACTTCTGGAGCCCTTTTCCTTTGGGATTTCTGAATTTACTGTGAATTTTTTTGAGGTTTCTAGAAGCATCTGTCCTGACTGCTGGTGTTGCAGTGTGGGAGGGTGCTATGCTGTGGTGGAGCTGAAGGTGGGACTCGCTGAGGGCTGGAGCAGCAGCTGGTACATGGGCTGTGTTCCCTCTGTCATTAAATCTGGAGCGAGCTCGGGACACTTTCTTTGTGCCCATACTCCTCAGGCAGCTGTGGAACTGGTTGTTACTTGAAATCCAGGGCTGAGATATTTAGCTTTGGAGTTGAGCCAGGCTTAAAATGTGCAAAAGGGCTTATAATGCTGCTCTGGCTCCCCGTGATGCACAAGCCGGCAGCTTGAGAGATGCCATCAGACCTTCCTGTTGTGATGTGCTGGTTTGCTAAAGAGTCACTTCCCTGTGCTTTGGGAACCTTTAAACATTTATTGGTACTAATTTGAGTGTCATGCCGAGACCTGCAAAGATGGTGACTGGAAGGGCGGTGGAGCAGAAATGAAAAAGCTGAGGTGGGCAGCACTGGGGACAAACTGCAGTGTGGAAAAGACGCCAGCGTGGGTTTTGTTCAGGTGGAGTCACGGGTGGCACATGAGAGGTGGATGGCAGGGGTGTGACATGCAATGGTCACTGCTGCCCCCTGTTACGTGCCCCCAGTGCAGGAGCTGTGGTGCATCCCGATGGCTCCCACCTGGCATTCCCACCTCCTGCTGTCTCCGTGCTCCGCAGGCCGCGGGGCTTCCTGTGCCTCCCTTTCCCCATCACCATTTCCCTTTCTCTCCCTCGCTTTCCTAACGAGTCTCTTTTGCGCCTGTAGTGGAAAATAGAGTAAGTGAGCCTGTAATTAGGGGCTGAGCTCTGCCATACTGCCTGCACACCTGAGTTAGAGCTGCACAGGCAGCCGTGCAGCGCCTGGTCTTGCCTTTTATGTAGCGTCATTTCAGCCACTGAAAAAAACATGATTTACCTTGGTAATGGCAGGCGCTGGGGATTTTGTCGTTATGAGTCTGGCTGGTACCCAAGTGTACAAGATCACCAGTAATCCTGGAGAGGAATGGCCAGGGCTATTACAGCCAGCCACTGCGAGGTGCCTGCTCACATTTAATGTTTTTCTTGGCCGATCTTGTGTTAAAAGAAGCAGTAATTTCAGGTGGTGGTAATTTCTGTACATCAGCAGCCAAAAGATAAACTTGAAAGCGTTTCTGTGGACTGGCAACAGTTGCTGGCAATGGGGATTTGGTGTTTCAGATCTGCCATGTGGCTGGTGACTCCAAGGCCATCACTTGGGGAGACTAGAGAGGGTGAGAGCTTATGGACCCACATCAAAACAGCCTCGAGTTTTGTGTGTGTGCTCAGATGGGCCTGAGTGGTTGAGATTAACACGTCTTAGTTTTCAGGAATAAAAAATCAGAGATCGGTTTATCACCTTTTGCTCTTTATAAATCACCTTTTGCTTTTTATAAATCAGTTGAATTCAAGTCCTTTCACTTGATCCTGCATCCAAACAGATCTGTCACCTCTCCTTTTTCTCCTGTGGCCTCTGAGGATCAGGTTCTGGGGTCATGGGGCAGAGCATCTCCAGGTGAAGCAACAACTGAGGTGGGGTTTCTTGTAGGTGGGTTCTTGCTGTGACAGTCTGTAAAACACTGGCAGCATTTGCAAACACTTGTGAAGCCTTTCCCCAGCGCTTCCCTCCTTTCCTGCAGCCCTGGGTTGGTCTGTGCTCGGAGGAGATGTGTTGGAAGTGTTGCAGCTTTGCTGGGTTTGAGCAGTTCCATCTCTGCTGCTGCTCGTGCTCCCTCAGCCTTAGTGTCCTTTCTTAGCTTGTCCCAGTCCCTGCTACCCTTGGCAGGGTACATGAGGCAGCTGAAAGGGTGTAGAGCCAATACACCGTCTGCCACCCTGCTCTGAGCAGAGCCTGGCTCCATGCTGACCCTGCTGGATGCTCTCCAGAGCTGAGTGGAGCATCCCAGGGGGAATCAAGTAGCATCTGGTGCAAAACCAGGGCTGAGACCCTGTGGAATGGTGATGCTGAGGTCCCTGTTCCTTTGGGGGTAACCTGGAGACCCCCTGTGCTGAGGAGGAATGGGCACCTCCAACCACCCTGGGACTGAGCAGTGCCTCCTGGGCCCAGACCAGCCCCGCGGGGGTGCCCGGGTGCTGTTTGTCATTAGGACCCCGGGATTCCACCCAGGGCTTCCCTCCCTCCCTCCCTCCCTCTCTCTGTCTCTTTGATCACCAGTGACCGACTTGAAGCTGTCAGCAAAAGATAATACAATTAAAGGGTGCTAATTTCAAAGGGATTTTAGTCTTCAAAGCGTCTCTGGTTTGCGCGGGGGCTGCCTTGGTGTCCTTCCCGCTCAGCAAAGCCGCGAGCGGGGGCTTTGTGGTTCCACTTGCCCAAAAGTGGATTAATTCTTGTTTTTACAAAGCGCTCTCCTGCTTAGTGCTGGATCTCCAGCAAAATCAGAAGGGCTTGGTTTTGCAGAGCCCCGGCTGAGAGGAAGGAGGTGAAGGCTTTGGTGGGCTTTGTGGAGTAGTCTGTGAGTGCTGTACCACTCCAGTGGGGGGCTGGGGTGGCTTTACCCCCTGGAAAGTGCAAGGAGGAATTTAAATATACAGGGTGGAATTAATGACCTGCCTTGGAAAGCCTGCCAGCTGCCAGGGCAGGCAGCTTCCTGTGGCTGAACGTCTCTCCAAGAGCTTTTTTGCTCCGTGGGGGCTGTCTGATTGAATACCACACAGGTGCCCGCCAGCCTCTTGAAATGCTTCAGATAAAACTCTTGGAAAAACCCAAATGTCCAACATCCTCCTTAGAAGAGCTGCCCTGGGGTTTTGTGGGATGTCACGCTGGGATAAGGACATGGGCTGCACTTGTGAACCCCAGGTGTTGGCTGGATCCCTTCTCCAGCCCTGCCTGTGCTTCCTGCTGCCTGCATCCTGCCCGCACCCTGCCCGTGCTGGGAAGGGAAGCGATGGATTCCCTAACGAGGGTGAGCAGCCTGCCAGTCAGCTGCAGAAAAATCAATACTGCTGTTAATTGAATACAGCAGTTGTAAATCATCAGAGGGGAAGGAAATTAGGAGTACTTATGGAAGCCTCCTGGAGAGCTGTTAACTGGGCAAGGGAGATATTAGTTTGCAGTGGAAGTGTTGATCTCTCCATGGAAGGTGCTTGGGAGGGAGGAAGGTGAGCAGGGGGTCTGAACTGGCTGAACCAAACTGGAACCATAACCTGACAGTTTTGGGGCTCAGAGAAGCCCTTTTCCAAGAGTTAGGCTGTGCCTGCCCACCTCATCCCACAAGGATATGGCAGAGGGAGAGGCTGAGATCTGCAGCGTTGCCATCCCTGGTCATCCCTCTTCCCCATGTACTGGTTAGCCTGCAAAGGGTGTTATTTGCTAACGACTGATTAATCTTCAAGCTTAATTACTGCCAAGGCTCAGTTAATTTCCACACACTTTAAGTATTTGTTCTTGTAATCATTACATGACTCCATATTCCCCCAGTAATTAAAAGTCTTGCAATATGACACTAAATGGATGATGTTCCTGCATCCTGCCAGCCTGGCTCTATTAATTCCTGAATTGTTGCCATTGGTAAGCTGGCTGGAGTGAAATCACTGCCAAATGCCATGATCCCTGCCTACCCAGGTGAGCCTGGAGTGGTCTGAGACCCCTCTGTGCATCTTCTCCCCATCTTCTCAGCACACTGTGGGGCTCAGTGGGGGCATTGGCAAGGGGAGATGGTGCTGCAGGGTGTGAAAGCAGTTTGGAGCAGCCCATGGGGAAAGTAAGACCTGTCCTGTGATGAAAGTCCAGCTTTGCTGGGTGTTTGTTCTGCTGAGCAGAGCTTAGCTACAGGGGCAGCATCAGGGGTGCATCAAGAGATAGGAACTATCCTCCCTGGCATTTGCTTTCCTCACAGGTTCCACAACCTGTTTCATCCTGGCAGAGGCTGTGAGTAGTTTCTTTCCAGCTCCTGAGGGAGACTCCAGCCTGGTCCTGGATGGTTTCAGTGTTAGCTTGGGGGGGGTGGGAACAGCTCAAGGGGTCGCTGGGGGTCTGGGGTACCCATCAGGGTCAGGAGAGGACATACATGGGGAAATTCATGCCTGGGCAGCTGAGATAAATTGCTTTTCTCTCTAAGGCAGAGTGGAGAGGTGGCTGTGTGCCATTAGCATGGGAATCAGGGTTCATCCATGTGCTCCCACCTTTCCCGAGGGGCTGTGGCCTCATGGAAAAGCCCCACAGCCAGAGGGTGATGGGCATCACCAGCACAGTGAGGGAATAGGTGCCCAGGTCACTCACACCCTTCCTGCTCCCAGGCTTGTACCTCCACCAGCACTTCCAGCTCGATTTGCTGATCCTAATTCTGTGATAGGCTTTGCTTGTTGTGCCTTTTCCATGCCAAAGCATTGACACATCAGGGGCTGCTTTATCACAGGGCTTGCAAATGAGGCTTCTTGATGCATTAACACCTGGAGGCAAAGAGCAGTTGGTTGTGTTGTCTCAGGTGGCTTGTACAGGGACAGCCCTGGGCCCCAGTCCCATGAGGACAGTGCTGAGGGACTGGTGATGTGGGGTGGGGAGGAGTGTGGCACCAGTGTGCCTTTTCCCGGGCTGTGTGTGCTTTACCCTACAAGGAAAACCAGATCCCATTAACCCTCCACCAGGTGTCCCTGATTTCAGAGCAGCTGGGAGCAAGCAGCCCTCTCCAGAGGGATGGGCTTGGGGGTGTCCCAGCTAGGGGGCATGGACATGATGGAGGGGGGTGTCTGGGGAGGCTGCAGTGCTGACAGTGGAAACACAGCCTGCCAAAATAACCCTGCTAAAATTAAACAGAGCG